TCCTAGATGAGGTTACCTCCATGAGGGCGAGCGATCATAACCCAGTGGTAAAGAGCAGAGCAGGTTTTCTCCGTACATCGATATCGTGAGTTCGATCCCCACTTTGTTTCTGGACTTTCTGTGCCTGCAAGGCGCAGAAATAAATATGTTACTTGATATTTAGAAGAAATAAATATACTCTTATAGATATACTACTCAATAAATATTCTACTTAAGACTTTGCACCTGTATGATATTTCTTATTTGAAATTTTTGCATTGAAATTACACTGTTGCTTTGTTAATGTAGTTATCTTTATTCTTTATTACGACTTTTTACTCATACTGGTTTGATATTCATGACATTACTGTCTATTTATTCATTAATAAAGGTTTTGATTTAAGGCACAGTAGTTACTTATTTTTTCTGAAACATGGTTATTTCATTATTTCAAGATTTAAGTGTACAGAAATTGAAATTTAAAAATAAATAAATAAATAAAATAAAATAAAAAAAGGAGTAATCTGTGTACTCAGTACACAAGGAAAAAACATATTTTTTAAAAATTTTGCTGCAAACTAAATTTAGCAAAAAATCAAAATCACGCGGCATCATCCGTAAATACTTTCCGAATTGTACCGTGTCTTCAATAGGCAACTCCTGGAGCAGGATATTACGAAGGCACTATGAATTTCTCTTCGTTTGACCTAATTTCTGGTCCAAACGCATTTTTCCCCCTCTCTCTTCTGTAGCAGTAGCTAAGTTCAGAATTGTAGCTGCATCTATAGTAGCAATTTAAAGTAAAATAGTCATGCATTATTTTGATTATTTGACAATACCATAAGCTTTGTTTACAAATCGTAGACAGTGTGACGCTGTAGAGGGCGTGGCTGAGTGAATTCCTGTACTAACGAGAAAATTGTTCCGTGTGGACAGGCGAGCTATCTCAGATATTGTCGGCCAGCTAAATCGGCCGAGGAAATCGCTACGTGTAGATGGGCCTTAAGTATCCTTTAGTTAATTATAGTTTATTATTTCTTATTCTGAGTTAAAGCCCGAGACTTGGTTGTAAGCCCGAGAGAGGGGCCAACTGTTATTCTTATTTGAATAAAATAAAGGGTATTCTAACCCTTATCGAGTCGATGTTTTTAGTTGTTTGAACTCAGCGGTAATTCGCTACACAGTTCACTAGGTTTCTTGACGTTCATATTAGACAAAAAGTGTGAAGAACCCTATACGCTCAAATCTAGTTTTGAACTAGATAAGAGCGATCTATCTCTGTTTTACATGAGAGTCAAATGCTTCATTACATATTATAGTGCATATTGACAGGAGAAATACGGACCCTTCATTAGTTGTTGTAATGCTAATGTTTGCCGCCCAACTGGGATAGTGGTTAGCGACGCAGACTGCCGTACCGAAGCGCCCGCTTTTGAATCCTGGAGAAGGCATGGGTGTTTTGTAAATGTATAGTGTCTGTGTGGCATGGAGGCACTCTAAATATGCGTCGCGCCGAAAGCCCTCTTGAGAGGTTAGTGGTAGGGTAAGAGGGGTGGGAGATCCTCGGACCCGTTTCCCCGTGATCTTCATCAAAATTTGGGTCGGAACTGAGCAAAGTCGTACTGTACCCTGTATTGAGCTCAAAGCTGTTGCCAACGAGAGGTGCAGTCTTGCACTTTTTGCCACGATGAGTTTCGTGGGCTTATTCTAATGTTATCATCAGACGAGTGACACAACAACAATATGTTAAAGTTTTTTTAGGTTGTGCATTTCTAGAAAAATAAATGTGTTATTTTGTTACTTCGTTGTAGCAGCTTGATCATATATGTTATGCTACTTTACTTTATTCACTACGGGTAGTAGTTTTTATGTAATAATATTTATTTTTATACTAACGTATATTGCTTTCTTTGGCAATCACAGTCGAATTCGGATTTAACGAATAATTCGAGACGGATAATAAAATTCGTTAAATTTAGATTCATTTACAAAGGAAGACTCGTAAATATCGTAAATATACGTATATGCAATAAAGATATGACAGATATGCAATACAGCACAAATAATTGTGCCCAAAAACACGTCAGCAAAAATCACATCAGTATGAAGATCTCAGTAAAGTGAACAACTAGAAGCTAGTTTATTCACAAAGTATATTTTTAAACAATGGAATTTTTATATTTTAATACAAGGGAATATTTTTAGATGTGTTTCGTACAATAAATGACTGTCTAGGAAACAAACTGATATTAAAATCTCTGCTTATAAAGATTTCGCACTTATTTTTTTTTATAAATTGTTTGTAAAGCGTTAATTTTTCTTTTTATTTTCCCATGAATGTTTTAGTCTCTTGGCCAAAAATAATATCTGCAAACGTGATTAATTGTATTTCCTCTTCATAATCAACGTAGGATCTCCCCTTGGTTCATTATCATCATATTACCAATTGGTCAAAATCAATGCATAGTACATTATGAGAAAAATTGGCAATTGCTGTAGATATTTCACCAAATCGTCTGGTAATAATGTTTTTAAAATTGTGTAACATGATTAGCAGAGGGTCGAATTAATTGTAATAAAAATTAATATCTTTAATTAATTAACTCTATCTTTAAACTAAACTCTATCTTTAATTAATTATTTATGGAGTTAGGTACCATATCATTCTTTAATTCCCGAATAAAATTCATAATATTTTCCAAAATGATGCTTGGGATGGTTTAGCGCCAGAAACATTACATATAAGGACGATATATAATGACAGTTCGCTTCTTTTTACCTGCATTTGATAAAGACAGAAGCAGTGAATTCAAAAGTTAGTTTAAGATTTCTCTTCCAATTATTTTAAAATTCGTCTCAGACGTCATTTCACATGCACACCGTGAGATATTTTTCTGCAGTCCACAGATGTTTTAAAAATTTATTATTATTAACTTATTATATTTATTAAACATAACATAGTATACCGTCAGCGGCCCCAAGACAGAATTTAAATTGTTCAGAATTTGACAAAGTCAATTTAAATTGGTAGAATTTGGCCGCTGCTGTTTTAAACGATACGTTTCCATATTCAGAAGCTAAAGTTCACTTGCATGATCTGATACAACAATGTTTGAAGCGAGGAATACTTCTACCCGAATATTTGAAATGTGAAAAATTCCCACTTGCATATGAACAGAGCTTACGTAGTTGAAAAAAATTACTAACCTGGATGAAGTTTTCAGAAATATTTTTTATCCATTTCTAACGGGAAAAGATTTACAACAAATAAGTGAAAAGTATTGGCTAACAAATATGGAGAAACTCTGCGTAAAATGAATTTAATAATAAAAATGAGTCATGTAATTAAGATTACGTAAAGTAAATCTGGATCTGGTATTATGAAGAGAAGATTTAAAAAATAAAGTAAAATTCTGAGTATACAGGAAATTATAAAGATTAAAATAAATGCGAACATAAAAAATTGACATCTAAAATTAAAGTCTTCTGAATCAATCATTAAATCCGAGACTAAGCTCTGTTAAGGGTACCTAGGAAATATTCATCATACACGTAGTAAAATAGTTGAAATACGACGAAAAATACAAAGGCTAAAAATCGATTAACAAAAACATTGGGAAATCAGTCAAAGATAATCTCTTATCAAAGTGTGAAGTCATCTTATCTGCTAAATGAAGAATCAGTAAACACTCCTTATCTGATGCTACAGGCCTACAGTGTAGAAAAAAAATCAGGTTTTTAGGGGGGCTGCTATGCATAAAATCAGTTTTCAGGGGACGCTATGTTATAAAAGGGGAAGCTATCCCTGTGCTGGAACTCTCATTTTACTTTCTTTTCAATTTAAATCGAGATTTTTTAATTAAGTTTAGTTGGAAAAGCAATTAAAATTCGTGAAATCAAGAAAATCGTTAAATCTACATTTATTTTTGTTAAACAGGAGTTCCACTGTAATTATTAAGGTTTGAACCGGAGACTAATAATTTAACGAATAAAATCAGACGATAAAGTAAGGAAAAAAGGTAGTAAGTTCGTTTATTGGACATGGCGTAAGTTTGAGCGTGAGATAAAGAGCTTGATGCATTTAATGCAGTAAATGGGTACAGTCAGACTATATGAGGAATAAAGATCGTAAGATCACCTACTGGACATGCTTTGTAAGTCAGACGTAAGGTAAATTAGCTTGATACATTTAATGCAGCAAATGGGTACTGTCAGATCATAAGGTGAGGAATAAAGATCGTAAGATCGCCTATTGGACATGTCCCCCGTAAGTCAGACCATGAGATAAAGAGCTTGATGCATTCAATACAGTATTTGGGGAAAGTCAGACCATAAGGTGACGAAAAAAGATCGTAAGGTTGCCTATTAGACATGCCGTAAGTCAGACCGTAAGGTAAATGGGCTTGGGAAAGGTAAATGGACCGTAAAGAAAATGGGTATAGTTAGACCATAAGGTGAGGAATAAAGATCGTAAGGTTGCCTATTGGACATGCTTGTAAATCAGACCGTAAGGTAAATGAGCTTGATGCATTTAATACAGTAAATGGGTACAATCAGATTATAAGGTGAGGAATACAGATCGTAAGGTCGCCTGTTGGATATGCCCCAAATCAGACCGTAAGGTAAATAAGCTTGATGCATTTAATATAGTAAATGTTCAGTAAAATGGGTACAGTCAGACCATAAGGGGAGGAAAAAAGATCGTAAGGTCGCCTATTTGATATGCTGTAAGGTAAATGAGCTTGATGCATTTAATGCAAAAAATCAAATAAATTGGATCTTTTTATTTAAAAATAGAAAATCAAAATAACAATTAAAAGTCAGACCATATGGTTAGGAACAAAGATCGTAAAGTCGTCTATTGGACATGCTGTAAGTCAGATCGTGAGGTAATGAGCTTAATGCATTTTATGCAATAACATTTAACTCAGAACAGTAACGAATACTACATAAGATAGCATGTTCGGAATTTGAAACAAACACATTCTGTACTAAAGGTCATGCATATTCTTACTACTTACCATTGAGTACATGAAGTCCAATTGCTGCGGGATCAGCGTTGGAAGGTATGCAGGAGTAGTTTCCGGAGTCACTCGGTTGCGCGTTGCTGATTAAGAGTTTACTGGTTGTACGCTGAGCTTTCTCGGTATGGACGCTGATGCCTCTGGGTGAGTCATAGTTGATCACTTTACCGTTGTGGTACCAGAAGACGTAATCTGGTGGTACAGGACTCTCATTAACTAGACATGTCAAGTTTATGGTACTTCCACTGTTGATATACAGCGTAGGCCCTCCAATTATTTTGGCTTTGTTCTCTGAAAGGTAATAAAGTGACAACATTTACTAAAAAGTGCAATTAGAATATATTAGTGAACAAATTAAACAGCTCATATTGAGAAATACAAGAATATGTTGTTAGCTATATCTTTTAACATGTGCTATTTAACAAGCATTTTAGTCACACATTGAGTAAGGCAAAGTAATGCAGATAAAGTAATAGAACTTTGGTAAAGAATGAATTTCAGTAATAAGTATTCTTTTAATATAATCAATCTATTATTTATTTATTTCTACTTATTTTTTACTTTTTGGAAACATCTTTCTTTCATGAGCAGTATCCCAACTGAAGTAATATAAATGAAAATGACGCAGCGACGTTAAAGCACTGAGATGACAGTTGCGTATACCACTCCTAGAATTACTCCGATAAAATTTTAGTTACCAATTCTTGCTTTAATTAATGTTTATGGTAACTTCATTTGATTTTTTACTTCCTTGTACGAAGTAAAAAGGAAGTATTGCAATCGCAAAAAGTTTGAGGCAGCATATTTCAACGAAAATATCTATTTTGACCGCTATCGAATACAATTTAACGATGTTTTTGCGTGATATCTGTACGTAAGGACAGAACAAAAGACTCTTTTCGGTGCTACTTTGGTAAACGGTTGCACGGATTTTGGCGAGCGATACGACTTATGGTAAACCCATTGCTGGACAAGTTATTTATGGTAACTGATACTTTGTTATAATTTTATTTAAAAAATAATGCGTTTTATTATGCATAAATTACGTGTTTTAACTATTATTTATGGTTTCTAAATATTAAAAATCAATTTAATTTTGCATTTTTATTTGAAATAAAATTTTTATTGTTTATGACATTTAGTATAATTTATGTTGTGGATGATGTAATCAATGACGTCACCTTGCTTTAAAAGTAATTGGTTTTAATATCTATAAATTTAATCTAATGTTTTAAGTATTATTTATGGCTGTTAATTATTAAAATACAATTTAATTTTGCATTTTTTTAAAAATCATTTTATTATGCATGATTATTTAAATAAATTAATTCTAGGCGTGATGTAATCAGCTCCCTAGTTGGTTACAGAATATTTGTGCATAACCAAGCAGTAATCAGCTCCCTGATTGGTTACTATGGTTACTGAATATTTGTGCATTACCCCGCCATATTAAAATTTTATTATTAATCTCTTCAATTACTTAGATTTCATAGGAAACGGATATGTCCCTTTCAAAGATTAATGTTGTTATTGGTAATTACCAAGAATTATTGGTATCAGAATAAAGAAATTGTCCTTTGAGGCCTTATTTTGGCCAACCTGGCTTTCCTAATTAAAGATTTATTTATAAATAGCTATGTGGGTCAGAGGAAATTTATTTAAAATTTTTGGAGGAAACCTCGCTAATTGCTTCTTCAATGAAGTGCGAGAAATGTGGATCACAGATGAAGATCGTTAGAAGAGCCGATTCTGAGGACCGCCGTATATGGTATTGTGGTAACGGTGGAAGAAATAACCGTTATAACGGTAAAAAAAATGTATTAGACAGTCCTCCTTTTTTACCGGCAATAAACTAGTTGGTGTCATTTTAGATCTAGTGTACGAAGCGTTCTTATTTACTTATTTTAAAGTATTTGAATTCAAGTAATATTTTAATTCTTTTAAACGTTGGTATGATGGGTTTTAATTCGATATTCAATTTATGTAATATTTTAATCCAATTAAACGTTGGCGCAATGTTTTTAAAGCGGTGTTTTATTCTATTTCTTTGCTATGGGAAAGTAATAATTTAACTTTACTTTAGAATTTTATACTCGTAGTAAATGTATTTATTTACATTGGCCTGCCATCTTAAAAAACAACGTTTTCAACAAAAATTAATCCATTATTTTTAACGATATTTATTTTTTTAAAGTTTCGAATAATTTGCTATGCGTAAAATACGTAAAAACAGCGTTTTCCAAGACGGCTGATGATTGTAAAATCCGCGCCAACAACTGCGCCAAAGTAAATCGCCAAATATCCGTGCGACCGTCTACCAAACTAGCACCCTCTTTTCCACCCAAAAAATTATAAAATTGATTTAAAATGAATTCTGAAGAGAATTTTTCGTGTTGTCTGTACGTACGTACGTACGTATCTCGCATAATTCAAAACCGAGTAGCTTCAGAAAGTTGAAATTTCGTATATCATGTAACTCGTATTTTGGTTGCAATCGGCCGCACCAAACGTATATAAATATATTTATAATTGAAACAGAAATTGTAAAGCAACAGTAAGAGAGTAAGACCTATTTGGTCTTAAAAATTTTTGCGATAATGTGCCAAAAGATATGAAATAATAGTAGGTAGAAACATTGCAGCGATCTTGCTAAAAGTTACGGAGCTTAGCTCCACGAAATAGTTCAACGCTGTATTATAAAATATTCTTTACTAAAATTTTCGTGCATTCGCATGTCTTCCAACATTAATTTTAACAGTTTTTTCGCGTGTTAGCAGTTTTTTTTCCAGATTAATATTTTTTTTTAAAAAATTTCTTCTTTGTTAATATTTTAGTAATACAGCGTTGAACCTACCTACTATTAAATATGTGTTTTGTGTTGTGTAAACAATGTTTCTACCTACTATTAAATATATTTTATTATATCTCCTCTCCTGATTTTGCTCTGATATCTGTAGGTATGTAATATGTATATATCTCCATAACCAAAACGAGTAGCTTCAGACTCTGAAATTTGATATACGACTGCTATAATCTGTTGTGATCTCCCTTTTGGTTTGCAATCGGATGCACAGAAGTAAATATATATCCAAGATATATATATAACCCGTTCTGTGCCCGGCTCATGATTTCCGTTTCTTATTCTTATATGTTTCTAAATGTGCTTTGTTGGTTAAAAATGATGAATTATGTTGTTTTATTTCCGGTTAAGGTTTATGCTTTAGAAAATCTGCAAGCAATATTTGTAAAATTATCAACAATTTAAAGCGTTTAAGTGCGGTTAATTTAAAAACACGGCGGAGATGTTTGTTACATTGAAACAGCAGAATAGTAGATTTGTTGCCAATCTAGAGAGACTAAGATTCGCAACAACAAAGATAAACGCTTTCATTTATTTTGCGAATTAAATCATGCTAATTCTTTCTGGATGTTTTTCGAGGAAACAGTTTAAGAGTTTACTTCATAATTTTATAGATATTTTGAGTTTTTATGTATTTTTGCCTTGTCGGGAGTGAGAACTGAATTAATTGAATGAGAAATACTACGTCTGTAAAACTGTTTTTTTTGTTTGTTTGCTTAATTTCTTTTATAATCGTTCTAGATTTATTATAGTATTTGAAGAGAACATGAGGCGACAATTAGTAATTCTTCAAATGATATAAATTTGTGCATTCGAGTATAATATAGGCGAACTGCCATTGGACACTATTAAATAGTAAAAAACTCTTAGAGTTGACACCATAATTTTGGCCTAGATTCCTATTATAATATGAACGAAATATAAAGCTGTTAAGTGAACCTAGCGCCAGAGTGTCGCTATGGTAAACAAATATGGTGAACAGAGGCAGCTGTCTAAGGCACTATTTACGAGGGACGTCAATTAATTTGTTCTATACATGACAACTGCACATTAAATTGAATTTTGGTACAGGTAACAAAGAGGAAACCACTCCGACCCTCCTAACTACAAAGAAGCCCTATTGTCGATTCTGGTACAGGCACTGAATTTTTTTTTCAGAATCTTCCATTATTTACCTTTTCTCTTCTCTGTTTCAATAAACTTTTTAAATTACGTACCGATTTTTTAAAATTTTAGTTTAAAAGAATTGAAAATACATATTATAAGTTTTTTCCTAGCTCCTATCTATTATTTTATTAAATGGTAGGAATAAAGGATATCACTTTTAATAGTAGTAAATTAATTAAGGTGAGTTACAGAACAGTATACCACACACTGTACAAGATATATCACGGGAAAGAAATAATATTTAATGCAAAACACGCTATATGTACACCACGGAAAAGAAATGGACAAACATTACTTCGTATTTTCTCCGAGCGCTAACAATAATAATAATAATAAAGAAAAAACACAGTCTGATGGGTTTAAGATTTTAACGGTGGCCCAAAAGTGTTTGTTAAGGTTTTTAAAAAAGTAATACAATTAAAGTGGTTGTTAGAAGTTTTTTTGTAACTTAGATATAAAAGATCATCTGTAAGGCGTGCCGGCAAGACAGAGTTCAGAAAATAGTAAATGGCAACAGTTAGAAAAAGTTTAAAAAGAAGGAGAGTTTTAGAATAATAATAACTGACAAAAATTTGTAAGGATAAACAACGTTTTAGAAGATGCTGAAGAGGATAGATAGTGAAAGGTAAGTGTCAACGATGGGACAAGAGTTCTGTGGATATTTTGTTTTCTGCCTTTAGGCTTTTACACAACTGGTAATTCTCTCTTTGATGGTATGAATAATAAAATGTGAATGCATTTTAGCAATAAAGCTTTTTATTATAGCACCAACATACATACCTTCAGTGCAATGTTAGTTTTAAACTAGACGAATAAAATAGTTTCAAGAAGTTAACAATTCTTAGATGTATGGCATTTTGATTATAGCCGAACTTTAATTGCCCTAAGAAATGTTAGTGATACGAAAGTATTTCCCGAGGATTACTATTAAACCATTCTTTTCTAGAACAGCTGGCACAAATTCATATTAGTAAAACGTTTTATTCTATTTTATTGCTAATATTTCATTAATTCGCCGATAATTAATGTTGCAGTGCTTTCTGGAAAACATCGATAAAGAATACAAATATACTTATATACTTACAAATGCAAGGCAAAAAAAGTAATTACGAGCTGAATAAAACCAAATTAGACGTCATCCTATTACTTAAATATTAGATATGCATAGGAGATATTACGATGCTTAGGATAATAGAAAAGTGTTAGAATAAGATTTGAATCAGATTTATTCCGAAGCATGTATGCTAGTTGCTGAATTTTGTATATTATTTAATATAATTATAATTTAATTATTGGAATAATCA